ACGAAGGTCCAGAGCAGGGTGCGGATGCCCTCGCCCTTGGAGAGCAGCTTCACCAAGCGCATCACGCGGAAGAGCCGGAAGAAGGTGATGGAGATGCGGGAGCTGTCCTCCGAGCTCTGCGGGGAGGGGGGGTCAGGGGCACCCCAAAACCCCTGCACAGCCCCCCCAAAATCCCCCAGCTGGGGACAGCTCCCCGTACCTCACCGACGTGCCCCCCGTTCTGTCCCAGGCAGGTGGAGATGATGGAGATGATGGAGATGATGCGGACAGACAGATGGACACGAGGCCACGGGTGAGGGGAGACCCAGACATGCAGGACCACCCCAAAACACCCTCCGAGCCCGGGGACAAGGGGGGCGACTCACGTTGACCTCGGTGACGGCGATGTCCACCACGCTGCCCACCACGATGAGGGCGTCAAACGTGTTCCAGGCATCGCAGAAGTAATGCTGGGGCGAGGAGGTGGTGAGGACCCCCTGTCCTGCCCTGTCCTGTCCTTGTGTCACCCCCCAGGACACCCTGGTGTCACCCCCGTGTCCCCCCCCGCATACCCGGGGTTTGAAGGCGATGATCTTGAGCACCATCTCCACGGTGAAGAGCCCCGTGAACACCATGTTGAGCAGGTCCATCACGTAGTTGAAGGGCTTGGACTGCTCGTAGTGCTGGGGGGGACACGGGGGTCTGGCACTGTCCCCTCTGTGACCCCCAGGTGTCCCCCCAGGTGATGTCCCCCCACCTGCACGGCCAGGGCGATGGTGTTGAGCAGGATGAGCACGAACATGATGTACTCGAAGGCGGTGGAGTTGACCATGGCCCACACGCGGTACTGGGTGCGGTTCTTGGGGATGTAACGGCGCAGGGGCTGCGCCTTCAGCGCGTACTCCACACACTGCCGCTGTGGGGACAGGGACAGCGTGGGGACACTGCCACCCCACACCCTGTGGGGACAGGGACAGCGTGGGGACACTGCCGCTGTGGGGACAGGGACAGCGTGGGGACACTGCCGCTGTGGGGACAGGGACAGCGTGGGGACACCTGAGGCTCACGGGGACACCTGAGGCTCACGGGGACACCAGCGGCTCCCCACACCTGGTTCTTGTCGAGCTCGCAGTTGCGGTACTCGCTCTCGCCCTGCGCGCGGAAGGTGATGATGACGAAGCCCACGAAGATGTTCATCATGAAGAAGGCGATGACGATGATGTAGACGATGAAGAAGATGGAGATCTCCACGCGGTAGTTGTAGATGGGGCCCTGGTTCTCGGCGTTGGCGTCGATGGCCTTGTACAGCAGCCTGGGGGGACGCGGTGTTGGGGGTGTCCCCGCGGGGGTGGCGGTGGCCCCGTGCCCACCCCAGGGACTCACGCTGGCCACCCCTCGAAGGTGGACACGGTGAACAGGGCCATCATCCCCGCCAGGACGTTGTCGAAGTTGAAGTCGCTGTTGAGCCAGAGGCGCTCCCGCACCGAGGGGTGAGACACGTCCCCGTCCTTGTACACCAGGAATGTCCCCCTGGGACGGGGACATGGGGACAGCGAGGGTGAGACACCCCCCGGGCACTGCCACTGACGGGGACACCACAGGGACACCACGGGGACAGCAACAGTGAGACCCCAAAGGGACACTGCCAGCAGTGGACAAAGCCCCATCCCTGGCAGGTCAGGACTTGGGGTGCAGGGTCAGGATTTGGGGTGCAGGGTCAGGACTTGGGGTGCAGGGTCAGTGTGGGGTGCAGGGTCAGGATTTGGGGTGCAGGGTCAGGATTTGGGGGTGACACTCACTTGCACTCTCCTGGCGTGTGCTTGGCCTCGTCAGTGCAGCTGTAGAACTTG